GCATCTCTCATCAGGTCCTCTCTCATTGCCCTTCAAATGTCTTTGAATGTTAATCTTGTGCCAGCTCTTACAGAGACAAAGTCAACTGTTCTCTCCAAGCCGTACTCTAAACCTACTGCCTGGCACTCTGACTAGCAATCAAAAGGATTTGTTGCTTGTTTTCGGGTGGAAGAACAGAGAGAAAAACATCAGCATTACTTCAATAAACTCTTCAGCCATTGGTTCTGCTTAGCCAGAAATAAAATTTTAAAATATGTGTAGCATCACCTGCCCAGGGTGGTGGCAACCTTCTGGCCACCGGCATGTCCCCAGCTGCATCCCGCTCGTGCTCCCCATACAACAAACACTAGGAGAACTGGTGTAACCAAGTGGAGACTCAGAGCCTGGTGCGCTTAGTTCCCAGTTCGTAATGAAGGCAAGGGTGAACACAGGAAAGGGGGGGTCAGCCTATACGTTCTCAGGGGTATAAGCACCCTGTTTACATACAGCTGCCACGATCTGGCACTGAAGTCGTAGGGGTCGACAATGTTTCCAGCCCCAAGAAACTAGTGATTTTGGAAAGCATCTGCACCACACCCGGCTCTTCGTCTACGCAAAGGATGAATTTAATGGAACAACCTAACACCAAAATTCAATTAAAAACGTCCATCTTTAACTATCGTTCTGATTTGGCAGGGCACTGTAAGAAATGCTTAATTTTAAGACCACGCTTAAACCCTCTGCTGAACATGAACCAGACATTTCTGAAATTAAACACATGCTTAAAGGACTTGCTGAATTGGGGTGCAAAGAAATGAGGTACCAGGCAAATCTTCTTGCAGCTCTGGCTCAGAAAAGCAGAAAAGTGTATTCAATTATAACAGTAAAGTTACTGAAAAAGCTTCCCTCATTTGAGAGGCACCACGGAGATTACAGCACAGGCTTCACCAATTACTTATGTAAAATCAGAACAATAGCAAGTGATAATCGTGGATTACAAAACATTCATAAAACCCTCCTGCTACCAGTGAGTTATTCCTCATGTGTGTTAATTAAATCAGTTTAATTTTGGAAATACAGACTTGTACCGACTTATAGTTTCACACACTGAGCCACCTGGCTGTTACCAGATTTAAAGGAAGGGCAATCCCAGAGCTGAGCAGAAGTGCTTTATAGCAAAAAGCAAGCAGAGAAACAAGCAAAAGCAAAACTAGTATTAGAGTAAAAAACTCAGAGACTGTTACGACACTGAAACTTCTCCTTTGCAGGGATTAGAAAAATGCAAGAGTTTTTTTATGGGCTTTACTTTCCTCTTACTCCCTTCTTTCAGGGGGTATAAATCGCTCTCAGCTGTGAAGGAACTACAAGCATTTGGCTTTACGGAAAAAAACAATACTTTTGGGTTACTAGACAGAACTCTGTTCTGCAGAAATGAAATCAGAAATAAAATCAGTGTTTGTATGTTTTACAAAACGGCACTTCCGACTTCTCTGAAATTCTGCACACTCACTATTTCTTGGAGCCATTTTCCTTGCCTGACTTACAGAGCCCTGAAGAACATGGAGCTGGCAGGCAGATTATATTACTACACCGAAATGCATCTGAAAACATCAACTACTGCAAACTGCAGCTGTCCTATTGCAGAGGCCAAGTTACTCGCAGAGCGTCCTACCCCCCTGTTTAATAAACTGTGCCGCCTCTTCAGAGCCAGCCCTTCTCTAACGAGCAGAGCAGCCGAGCTCTGCCAACACCCTGCAGCCAGCATTGCCCAATTTAAACACGGGAAGTAACAGGCTTCAAGGAAGGACCCTTTGCTTTGCAATTTGCTCCTACCAGACTCAGAAATTGTTGAAACTCAGAGAGGGCTATGCAACCTGCCCAGTTTCCAAAGCTTTTTATTGCAAGTAAAGATCGTTTATTTAAATGTATTTAAATTTGTATTTAAATAATTTAATATAATAATTAACTGTTAACCAAGCTGCTAGCAAGCAAACAAGAATGTTCCTAGAGAAAATCCTTATATATATTTTTTTTTCCTAAAAAACTCCTGCCCTCCTGCACTGTCCTATTCCATTTACACCACAGGACAATGTTGACTGTGCAGTTTTAATCTCGAAGATAAAACGAGCACCCTCAGGAACAATACACAACTGATGAATAAACACTGCTATCGGCATCCTGCTTTCTACCTTCGGCAACCTGCATGTGTTCTATTACAGGTCCTCGGTTCGGTCTCAAAAGAAGCAGCATATGCACCTTTCCTGCCAGAGGATGCAAGAGCCAGTGCACAAGCTCGAGACTACAGAAAGGAATACTTCAAAGGTTGCAAAATTTAAATTGGAAGCGTCTTTCATTTTTTTAGATGAAGAACTGCAACAGCTGAAAAGGGAAAGCTCATGTGATAAACAGAAATTCAAAATGTCACCAGTGTAATTAGGTTTTGAGAAAAATATTTACACTGCAGCTGAATCAAGCTGCTTTGCAGCTGCACCCCAGCAAAACTGCAACAACGAAGAAGGTTTTGGGTCTGCTTTTTAATGATTGTATCCTAATTACAGCAAAATTTCACCCCTTCCCAATGCTGTCTGGGAGAATCATTGTAAAATGCAGGGTCCTGCAAATTAGCAAGCAAGTGAACAATAAAATCCCCCCAAGGATAATGCATCACAAAACACACTGCATTCATTTATTTGGCAAAGTGCAGTTTAATTACTTGTAAAAATAATGACTCCTTTGTATGGGCTCTCGCTAACATGCGTTGCTGCTCTGTATTTTGCTGAGTGGTATGAGTTGCGTGCCAAATTTGCGTGCATGGATTATACAGTGTGCGCATAAGCAGAGTGCAGAAAAGAGGTTGTACGGTATCCACTGTGTTTTGACAGCACATAAATGATATAGACTCTCTTCATGGAATATGGCTGCTTTTCTGTATTTTGAAACTCAATATTTCTCCTCTCAATAGGGATTTTCAAGCCTCGAGCCCACCTCATTGCAGAAAGTGCTAAGCAAAACAAAAGTCTCTGCTGGGACATCAGGATGTGTCCATTTTGCAGCTGCGGCCCTCCAGTGGGGAAAGACCATGGCGGTCCCCATGTCACACAGTGCTCCCACTGCTCCGGCCAGCGTTTCACCACTGTCCCACCCATTGACAAAGGGGTCCACGACTTCAAGCGTCCAGAGATTTCTGTTTGCAGGGCTTCATGGAGATAGCAGGGTTTTCAGAGTCACAGGATATATGGCATGGCTGTCAGATGTTTATACATTGTATTTCCACCCATCAGTTCAAGAGGGAAACTAACCATAACAAACAGTTTAAGGATATACTAAGAACAGCAGGATCAGGGATCTTGATGGTAACGTTACTGAAGTTACTACTGTCTTATTTTCAAAGATGAACTGTAAAGGTCATCAGAGAAATCCCTTGGATTACACCAGCAGCATCCGTTAAAGGGAATGGCACAGGGCAATGCCATGTAATCCAAGTACTCTTTTTTCTTTCCACTGAGCGAGAACTGCCATTCCAGTACTGGAACCAGTTATGAAATACTCCACCAAATACAGGAACAGCTGCTGTAATAGTTTTGTTTACTTCCCATTTCTTTTTAAATTACCAGCTCTACTCATATTCAGATTGCAGTATTTGCTGTGAGCTCTATATTCAAGTTTCGGCCAACTTAAGCTTTTTATAATACAGTTTTGGCCAACTTAAGCTTCTTGACAGCATGTAAAGTCTGTTAACATGGTTAGTGTCACCTTGGAGAACTCTGCTGCAGTTATGGGATGAATTTGCACATTCCAATTTTACAAGATAGTCTGCAAGAGAGTTGTGTGTTTTCACAGTATGACTGTTGAACTCGATGGAGAAAAAACTATCACTGTCATCATCTCTGTATTAATCCCAGCCAAGGGTGGCAGAAGAAAAGGTTATAGAGTATAGCTCCTGTCCTACCCTGCACCTTCTCCTTCACCCTCACTTTGCATGTGGTTGGCTGAATTGGTAAAGATGAAACTTAAACGCAGTCACACCAGCAACACAGATCATATTTTTTGCCCTCTAACACCCTGCTCAACAACTATAGAAAGCAGAATAATTTACAATTTGTAATACAGAAATGTTGCGTGATTATGTGGACGACACAGCAGACTCCTAAACATGACACTGGGTCACTCAACATAAACCCCAAGTATCTGAAAATTCAATTCAGAAAAACAAAGTTCATAACAAAGCTTAAGAGAACCAGGCATCAGAGTAACACACATGCAGACCAAATCTTTTCTCCTTTACAAACTGCGCCCCCGGGGCTTATTTAAGCTCTTTGTCTTTATTAGCCTCAGCTTTTAAAGCTAGATCTCCAAACATTTGCTATTCAAAAATAACTTATCTTCTGAAGGATTCCTTGTAAAACACTGCAGTAAATGCTCATGTGACTAGTTACTTGCTAGGAGTGAGTAAGATCTGGCTGCTTCTCATGACCACTCAAAAGAAACAGTTTCTGCTGTTAAATACTTGCATTAGTTCTTCCCTAAATTTTTTACCTATACTGGTAAGATACCTATTCTCTACAAGATGCTGCCTTATTTCAGTACAATTATCATATTTCGTTTAACCAAAAAACTCCAAACCTATGAAGAACACAACAGTCAACCACCACCACGAAGCCCGCTAGCTCCCCTCTTTTGGGCAGCTTTGCTTGTTCGAAGAAAAGCTTTTTCACTTGTGTTTGCATAAGGTTTGTCTTAATTAGTCGATATTACTTAGACTCACTTTGGGCTTTAAGAGACAGCTGGAAGCAGAACACTGTGCAACAGAGAAGGAGAACATAACAATATTATTGCATTTCCCCTAAACCCTAAGGACCTGCCCCCATTGTTGCTAGCAAGAAAGGTAAAAGCAAAATTATACAGAAATTGCCTTTAAGGGTAGAGTATCACTCTTAGACACTATTCAGTGATAACGTACAGCAAAGGCAAGAATGATACAGAACGGAAAACTAGTAAAGGAACCATCAAATCATCCTTACTCGGTCAAAAGCTGGTGCAGCTTCTGGTAGCCCCTCTCCAAGGCCAAGCTCACAGGCGTTGCCCCTTCGTTGTTGCGGATGCTGAGAGCTCCTCTTCCACCCGGCTGCTGGAGCAGAAACCATGTCAGCCGCAGCAGACCCAGCCTCACCGCAAAATGCATCAGTGTTTCCCGAGGGATGTCGTCTGGGAAGAAAGAAGAAAAAAAAAAAGAAATGGGCATCTATAGGCTGCGGGTTAGGTGAATGCCACAACCCCACCTCCCAGCCACACCACACACAATGGCTGGCATGGAGCTGACAGCCCAAAAGCCAAGGAACCTGCAGCACCTGGAAAAACACGCTGGCTGCCAATATCCAGGAGAGACTGGTACTTTAAAGCGAGGGACGTGCTACGGTGGGACTGGAAGTGCTCAGGACCTCTCAGGGTGAGCCTGACCACAGAAGTCAATGTGAAAAAAACACCATTTCATGAACAGCCACGGCAACCACCAAGTCGCAGCGCTTCCAAACAGAACCTGGCATGGTCAGGTGGGTTTTTCTAGATGTCCAAGCCTTCTCCTCACACACCCAGGACCAGGTTTTAGGAACAGACAAGTTTTGTTATTTAACAGGACGCTGATTTGTCCCAAGGCTTGAAAAAAATCAATTACATTAGAAGCACAAATCTAAAGCAGTTATAAAAGAGAACAGTTTAACTTCTTGTGTAGACAAAAAAAAGTGAGGATTTTGCTTTCCTGGTTTGATTATGCCTCAGACCAGCTTTTCTCAGCTTTATACAGTAGCTCTATCATTCTGAGTAGCAGCACTTATGAACTAGCAATCTCCGCTGCTGCTTTTTATGTTTAATAACCGTGACCTTCTAATTTAGTAAAAGTCACTCCTGAGCCTAAGCTTTCATCTCAGAAAAATATCCCCCTACCCTAACAGCTGCAGCCCTAGAACGATGCTCTGAAAAGCTTCAACCAGAAATGAGCTCCAGATGCACTGCTGAAATACAGTATTTGCAGATCAAAGCCTGTTACTTCTGTATAAAGGGCAAAAGCATTTGGGTTAAAAAAAACTGAGAAATAAAAATTTGTTCTTTTTAATTAACAAAAATTTCTCTTTAATTAACAAAAGATTTCAGTATTGACTGGCAGCAACAACAACAGCAAAGCACCAACTGGGTCTCAGTAAACCATGCCAATGAGCACACTTGGTATAAAACCTTTAATATCATAGCAATGACTTATTGGGTTATTAATTTGGTTGCCAGCCAAACCTATACAGCAGGTTTAAAACTGTAAGTACATAATGGCTTTAGGATTTAATTAAGTATTTCTTCCTCAAGAAATATGCCCCAAGAGAAATCATTTCTTCAAAGTGCTGTTGTTTTTCTTGCTTAGTTGCTTTCTTAAGGGACATCGTTAAGACCTTCAGTGAAAAACAAAGCAAAAATGGGGAGTTCTCCCCTGCCTGACACACAATTTTTCCCCAAAATTTTGGATCAATTCCTGAAGAACTAATCTGTATTCAAGAACCAAAAGCTTTCTGGCACAGTCTCTCTTCCGAATGACTCCAAATTAGGTCTCTGGGCTACAAACCAATCCTTCCCCCCTAACCTCCTCTTGATTACCGTAAAGCAAAACCATGCTGTCCTGAATACATGAGCATGTCTGAATGGAAGTTCCAGCTGATCAGAGAAAAAGGGAATAGCTGAGCTCACTCAGAGACAAATTCTCAGCCTGTGGGAGAGCAACGACAAGGATTTTGGTATTAAGTGCTATGGAGTGTAATGCTTTAGAAATAAACAACACAACAAGGTAGTTAATCCATGGTTGTCACAGTCTTGGACTTAAAGAATAATGAAAAATAACGCACCGTATAGACAGACATAAAGGAAAGGCTACTGATGAGGTTGCAAAAAGGAGAAAGTGTTGATACACGTGGGACTTACCCAGAGTGAAAGCAGATGCCCAAGGTTTCACTCAGTGAACTTGCACTTGCACAATACTCCTACATTACCTGTACTAACCCACTGGTGGAGTCAGCTAGCATAACTAAAGCAGTACAACTCCCTACTGAGATGTAGGAAGCACAAAAGCACTTCTGCTAGAGCAAACAACTGCCATCTGAACAAAGAATGTGTTGCACTGGTCTGACCACATCTGTTCTAGCACGGGATCTCCTGTTCTAGCTGCTTTGTTGAAAGGCAAAATCATCTTCCTAACTAAAATGGACAGACTTGCATCAAAACTGAGCACCGTAGACCTGCAAAGCATAAGCACGGATCCCTGGACCAAAATGCTGCTTCTTCCTTCAGCTGAGAACCTTACAGTTAGGTAGAAGCATCTTTTACTCACCAACTCATAGTTCACCAATAAACACACCTCCCAATTGCAAGTTTTGCAAGATGCTGGCAAGTACTCATCCTGTCCCTGATCCAACTGGGTGCCCCTCTCTGTCTCATATTTCCATAGATGAAATGCCCCCTCCCAATTGTCCCAAATGCCCATCTGATGTAATCTGATATGACTGCAACTTCTGAAAATCCCACCTTTTTCCCATTCTTTTAAAACAATCTTCTTTATCATCAAATTAATGGACACAGTAGTCCCAGCGTTTGGACAGAGTTGTCTACAAATGCAACTGAACGGTATGTGGCCCTGCCCCAATGCCTCTGAGCAACGACGACGTGCACAGAAGATCTGTACAAGAAGACATGGCGTGTTGCCATCCAGAGCATATTAAACATACAAACTCACTATCCAGGCCTATTTGGAAAGATCTGCCTAAAATATAAACTGGCATGAGGCCATCCTAACAGATGGGCACAGATGATGGCAGCAAAGGGACAAAGTACTGTACATACAGCAACTGCAGGGGCCCCAGGCAATGGCTTTAGAAGGTTCTGGAGTGTGCAAAACTTGCATGGCTACAGTTAAAAGGCGTGTGCCATCTGTGGGCTGGATTAACTACTAATATATAATGAAAAATACATCTGTTGGTGTATGGTGTTGCTCAGAACAAGATGAGAGCTGGTCTGCATCAAGTATGGGAGTGTTGCTGGATGGAGAGGGGAGGAAGACAGACAGATCCCTCCTGCCTTCCTGCTTTTGAAGGGATGAAGCTTGTAGCACAAAATGTTGGCAATTCAGTCCATGATTTCAAAGTCTTGTCATGGTGCAATATGCTCATCCCAGGCATGGAAGAATAACAAAAGCTTTAACATGCAATAGCCAGAGCTCCTTCTCCTACCACATATCAAGCATGAGCTCCTCATCTTAAAATGGCTGTCCTCTGAACGTCAACAAAAAGCTTCTTGTAATTAGGAAATTGTGGAAATACAAGACACACGATACTGGAATGGCCAAGGTTGTTTTGTTCCTTTCTCGTTTCCTAGTAATAGGCAAGAGTTGAAACTTATGATTATTGTCCCATAATGGCAGGGCACTCTAATCCAGCTGGCAAAATGTAAGATTTTAGATATATTATTTTTATGTAGTTTTTTTCAGCTGTGACACACAAACAGACAGTTTATCTGGGTAATTAAGGACAAAATCTCCATAGAAGACTGTCAAATGTACTTTGCTAATGGTAAAGGATTAAGTTTTAAGGTGCTATTAGCACAAAACAAAATAAGCACTGAAGAAAAAAAAAAGTTTGGGTATGACACATCCAAGAACACACAAACTGTTCTCTAAGTAAAAACTTTCATTCTAATCCTGATTAAAAAAACAGAAAAAAAATACTGTTCCCTTTTACAAATTGCTCTTCCTATAGAGTAACCCACAACTAACTGCTCAGTTTATCCTCCATGCCCTGAGATATCTCATCAAGGAACAGCCAGCCATGGACCGGCTAGCATCTCTTGCTAGTCTTCCTGTGATGGTGACCTTCACTTCTCTTCTCACCCAAAATCACATATACTCGGCAATTTTGAAATCTACCACCAAATCTGGCCTCAAAATCTTGTTTTCTGCTAGAAATGTTCTCACTGCTCAGATCAATCCTTGAGAAACACGGGAAGCAAAAACCAGCAACAAGCTACCACTTAACGCTGAGGTCCTAGAGGAGGGCTCCAGCAGACAACAGTACTGAAGAAAGGTCAAGGCAAAGACGCTGTGTTTGGAGTTACAAGTTCAGTTAATAAAAAGATGTGGGTAATTCCTTTTTAATCTTATAAACAAGAAATTTTCAAAGCACACCAAAGGATCTTCATGTCCCCATTCCCACTACTATCAAAGGGAACACAAGCTTTCTCATGCCAAAGATTTCTCAGCCACAGACAGAGCAGTACATCTGAGCACTGAGCAGCACATTTCAGACACTGCCTGACCAAGAATTATTTTCTACTTCCCATTTTTCACTGCAGAGGGCATTAAATTCAGGTATGGAAAAGATTTTTTACATCTTATCAAGGACTACAGCTGAATAGACCACTTTGCGCTGTTGGCACAGAAAAGATCATGTCGATTTATACCATACAGTCCTTTATCAGAGGGCAGAGAAGATGGCGAGCAGCAGACTGGAAAGGATGTGAAACCCAACAACAAGAATACCTGTAACTATTACACTGAAAGGGTTCAACTAGAAACTATAAAAAGAGTGCAGCAGATTAACAGATTAAAGCTTTATGTCTGAAAAACATAATCAGCTGCGTATCTTTAACAACCTCCTGTGGAAAAAAAATGTTAGCTCCTAACAATCAAATTTCTTTCTAACTATTTCTGAAAGCTTTTTAAAAGTTTTTTAGGCTTGTTGCTTTTTTCTTTAAAATAAGGTGCTTTTTTTGGGTTACTTTCTCTCTTCAGACATTCTCCCTTTCTGTAAAAAAAACGCAAATTAATCATCTCAAAGCACGGTGACACTCGTGTTGCGCTGCACACTGAAATCCTACTGGTTCTGTACGTGAAGTTATTAAACTCGTAACCCAAATCCATTCAGACTATTTCAAACCAGGGCAAAGCATTTCCCTCCCTACCCACCTCCTACCTGGCAAGCTCACGGGGTTTCATTTCTCAAGCAGTACTTACTGCACATGGATGTTTATTCCGCAGCATTTCTGGGAAGCTGTACATATTCAACAGGTCAGTAACTGCGTTCAGAAAGTTAAGGAGCTGTTAAGTGTTTTATCTAATGAGATGGTCTCCTGGTTATCTGGCCGTAATTGTGGCTGACTGTCTTGTAGCTCATCAAAGGGAT